ATAATCTGGCATCACTACGGAGCAATCATGAAGATTCTTCTCACGGACTCTGTATAACAACATTACCTGATGTAAATATAAGAGCAAGTGAACCTTTATCTAAATATTTTGTTTGACTTGTTCCACTTGAACACTTGTAGATTAGAATAAACCTTAATATTATGTAGCATCAATTTTGTTCTATTCTTGTGTTATGGATCTCAACACTTAAACCAGATTTGCAACCTTTTGTGATGACTTACATGTTTGATACATCCAATACGACTGTTACTTTAATACATATTACCCACATCTTACTCTTGTTGTATAATTGATAAGAGGGTATCATTAACTAAAGCAACCTCATACTAGATGAATTTCAGAATTCCTGGGTCTGTCTTTTAAGATCTTACAAGAATTACAAGAAAGAGTGAAAGTTTGCCTGCTAATATTAAGTAACATTTCTAAGTTAGGTATATATCAAATATGAATACAGTGCGACTATTATTAAAATGATACACCCCCTCTATATTATACATTCCTACAGCAAGATGAGTAACCAGCCAAGAAAACGTGTGGCAGATAGTGCCATGTCCATGAAGCATGTGCCTGCTAAGAAGTCTTCCAAAGATATGAGCACCGACTACACAAAATGCATCATATGACTACAAGAGTCTGTGATGAGCCTTTATTCTTCATCCGGTTAACAACATATCCGAACCTTATACAAGCCATGTTAGCCTGGAAAGATGGAGTATTTAACAGAATTCACACCAAGTCTGCATCAGAAACCTGGTTGGAGGAAAATGTACATACATGACAAAAGCTACCAGTGTGATGACAAAAAAAACGTCTTGCTGATAACCTGAGTACACTAGGTGAGTCTCATGCAGGATGCAGCTCATCGCAGTCGATGCAACCTGTCAAGTTAACCAGCTAGAACACTGATAGTTTTTAAGCAAAGAAGACATGTGTAATTTGCAATAAGAAGTGGCTAAAGGGAAAGGAGCCAGTGTGTAAGGTATCAAAAAAGAACAGTCAACTGTCAATGGAGGAAATAAGGGCGAGGAAGCTGGGCAGATGACATTTTACGGAGAATGATGGGGACAGGGACATGTACGACATGTATGAACAAATTTAAGGCTTTTCGCATTTATTCTGGTCGGTCAGAGTTAAACCCTTATGATGTTGCATTCAGCCGAACTAGGAGATGAGCTGGAAGCTCCTCTTTTCCTTGATCTGTGCAGATTTCTTGTAGAATCACTCAACGATAGGTACCGAGACATTCTTGAGGCGCTTGGTTTTGATAAACGAGATCAAAGCCGGGCAAATGTCTTGAAACAGACATTACGTGAACATTATGGGTCACTTATTTCAGTCCTCAATCAAACAAAAGGTTCAGGATTTAAATCTGCTTCCACAGTACAACTTGGTGACGTACTGAACATAGTAGGGAAGGAGATGATATCGAGGAAAAACACCATACACTCCTGCAAGCATCAAAGATTCTTAGAGCAGATTGTGAAAAGTGTAAGAAAGAGACTCATGAGAAAAATTCAACCGAAATTGCCTTCACATCTGCATACAATATAGTTCCGGACTCACTTTTCAACTTCAAAGCAATGTTTCTTAAAGGCCATATGCCAGAATTGTACTGGAGACTGGAGAGTCTGATGACTTCTTCAGATGGCCATGCTGAGGATGTTTTGCTTATGTGGCGCCTCGGTAGAATGAACACAACTTCGCAACTGGTGGATGCTCCTACAGATTTAGAAGCAGGACTTCCGGGCTTTTCTGCATTCTATGCTGACCTCCATCCACATAGACAGGCAACCATCATTGGCTATCTTCCTCTGATCCCATCTTCTCCAACTGCCTCTACTGTACTAAAGGAAATGATGATTCGACTTGTCAGGACATCACATGCATGTGGCGACAAAATAATACACAATTATCACTAAATATCAGGCTACTTATGAGCTCGCTGTAGCCATCAGAGACAAGCATAGTAGGGAGTTCAGCAATGTGGTCTTTCTACTGGGTGGCTTTCATCAACCTCACAACTACATGAAAGCAGTTTGGAAGATCATTAGGGCGGCAGGTGCAGAAGATCTTCTTGTTGCAGCTGGTCTGTGCCAGAAAGGGGCTGCCAAGAAGATGTTTGGTGAAAAACCGACTACTAACAGTAACAGGCCATACATGCCCTCAGAACCTGAGCAAAGCTATGTGGCGCCTCAACTAGGAAGCATTCAAGACATGGGCAACAGACAGAGAAACAGCCTCAGGTGGAATATGATTTGAAAATGCTCTTTGAAAAAGACATCACTGCCACTGAAAAGTTGCAAATGCATGAATTCCCATGAACAGTTATCAGCCCTGCGAGAACAGATGGTGCTTTTCCCAGAATCAATGGTTGAGAAACCAACAGCAATCCTCTGGTCCACCTTCCTGATTATGTCAGATGTTTTCATAGATTTATCTACTACAAGCAAGAAGCTGACTGGGAAGGACACCTCTATAAATCATATCGAATTGTACCTTACCTCACACCAGCAGGATATTACGAATATGGGCAGCAGTCTCTGCCTCTCTATCTTGATGATATGAAGAATCTTCCTGAAACAGCCCCTGATGTACATGAAGCACTTATGGCGGGTGCATTTGTTGGAAGGAGAGCAGATGGCAAGCACAATTGTGTTTTTCCTGACATGCTTCTTGAACGGACTTGCAATGCAGATGCCAAGGAAGCTAGGGGTCTTGACGGAATTACACTAAACCCCATCGCATGGATGAAATGGGTTTAAACAAAACCCATCACTGCATCTGTCTTGGCACAGTCAAAATCAATGCTGCATTTTCATTCACCCAGCCCTCACCCAGCCCTCACCATGAATCTGGTGTATGTCGAGTAACAAGGGATGCAGAGATGGTCATCAAGGTAATGGCAGCAGTCGAGACGAATCAATCCAGTGCAACCACGACATCCCTGATAAATGTGGCTACTGGGCAATGTGCTGATTGCAGAGTTTAGGACAACTTGAGTAGTGTTAAACAAATAGGCCTGGAGGCACTGTCTCAATCACTGTCCAGTCTTCAGAAAAAGACAAGTATTATGAAGCTGAACACGTTCCACACACAAAACGAGAAACAAAAGAAGTCTAGGCCCAAAACAGCTAAATCAGGGAAGAGTGATGAAGTAACTGCACTTCTGAGTATGACACAGATCATTGCTAGTCGTGGAGAACTATCAGCCATGCACAAAGACTTAACTCCGTTTCGTTGAAGATCAGCCATGCATTAAAAGTGATTTTCTCTTTTTTGGGACGCACTGTATATTACTTTAGAACATTCTCAAAATTGTTGCTTTGACTTCACAAACTTTGGTCCAGGATCCACACTACAGACTGTTGTATAGTCAAAACTAAATTGTAAATAGAAACCCTGACATGATGATGGAAATTTTGAATTCAGATTAGTGCAACATGTCATGAAAAAAAATCAGAAGGATGTTAAGTGAACACTAAATAGAATTAAAAACTTGGTGATAAAAACCCTTTTTGATATGTATCAAATTATTTGAACACTTTGCATGTATATCTGCAAGTTTTGACTCCAGCTATGCATTTTCCATTCAATACATCAAGTTTGCACCCGTAAATTATTATGGTTTACTGATCCCTAAACCAAAAATTCAGGGGCAGCAATATCTTGTCACGGCGGGAATGGGGGGTGGGGGGGGGGGGGTGCGATATTTTAGGAAGCTCTGCAACTGAAGGGGGAAGGTTACCACCCTCCCCTCCCCTTTCTCCACTATGATTTCGTATTTTGTTGTCAGAAAATTTTGCAACGCCCCAGTGTAAATCTTACTGGGAGGTTGCATAGTGACAGAATGACAAAAACAATGCACTTTTTAGTTTTTAACTCTGCATTTTAGAGCACTTTCAATCAACATGAATATCAGGATGTGACCTTGATGTCTATACAATTTTGTCTGTCTCTAAATTGGTATAAGCAGCCTTAAAACCATCATTTTGATAATGATTCTACATCCCCCCTAAATATCAGTGTGGGAGAGAAACATTTCCATGAAAGTCCCCACCCCCCCCCCCCTCCCGCACCCTATAAAACACTGACCATGCGATTCGCAGTATAGCCAATGTTTTAGAGTTTACATTTAATCACTTAAAAGACAAGATCGATGTCATACTAACTTCTGCAGTTCTGTCATCTTTTAAGCCTATACCATTTCATATTTGTTTTAAGTCAAAGTTTACTACGTTTAGGGATGTAGCGTGTAGCTAAGATATTTCTAAATTTAGAGTAGTAAAACTTTGTATTTTGTAACATTAACTAATTGTTTATTTTATCTTTTCTATTTATTATACTAAATTGTTAAGACGAGAACAAACCACACACACAATGAAAGACCCCCCCCCCCCCCCCCACGATGAGTACATGTATACATTTGATATGAGAAAATCCATGCAGTATGATGCAAATATCAAACCACCAAGATTTGTTGGAATATAATGACAAGATGTTGTAGAAACATTTAAAGAATGAAATTAATAGAATTTAAAGATAATAAAAAACATGTATAAATATTTCCATTTCCAAACAGTACAAAGAATTAAGAATAAAGTGTATATATCAAAATATAATTTTAAAAATAAATCTATAATGAAATACACATGAAAGAAGAACCCCTCCCCTCCATCACGTCCAGGCCGTTCCTTTGTTATTTATCTTCATCATCACTTGCAATCCTTATTTACTCTCTACTTTTATTTGTCAATTAGAGGAAACCACTCATACTCCTCTTTCCTCTTTATATTTATTTGCCAACTAGAGAACACCATTTGCCAACTAGAGAACACCATAAATTCCTGACCCAACTTATTTTTTTTTCTCCGGCTGTAATCACAGTGATTTTCCAAATTTTCAAGCGATTGATGTTCTGCGTCTTGTCAAAGCGCCCCCATAGGCTAGACTACGGCATTACAATGTGTTTTTTCACTCACCTTGGACTTGTTTCCTTCTTTAGCAAGAACTGCATAGAAGTCACTGTGCAAGGCAGCTCTATGTAGTGTAACATGCTTTAGAGAGGACACAGAGCATATAATCTCTGCCATATGATGTGATATAATTGGTCCAAATTGTCCATGTACCCCATGATCAATCTTAAATCGAAAGCAAAAACAAGCAAAAAATTAAAAAAAGAGAAAATCCATTGATAAAGTTTAAGACCACTATGAATTTTGTTGATGCTTCTGTCATTCGGCCTGCATTCAGAAAGTCTCATTGAATGATTACAGAATGGTTACTTGATACAGTGGTCGATATCATCAGAGTAGTGCTACGAAACCTATATGATCCCAAATTTATTTGCCAAGGGAGGCCTGCTATAACATTTTATCTGCAATGCAGCATGGTAAAGGCCATTTTTAAAGGGCCCTAAATTATTCCATCCATCAAAATTAAGGGTTACTCTGAAGTCTGAGCATCAAATGATCAAGATGACTGGATGCAGCAAAACTGAGGTGTAGGATGCCATTTCAAGCAGACAGTTTATTTTCCAACCAGAAAAGGGTTGGTAGTCCAATAAAACTAATTCAAATAGTTGACTGTTGATATTTATCATATTCCTATAGTGATGGGTATATGAAATGATACTGCTCAAGTATTATCATAATGTATGTTTCACATCAACCCCCCCCCCCCCTTCCCTCCACTACAACAAAAATGGACAGTCAATAATCATCATTGCCGGTAGTATACCCACTTAAAAATATCATTAGTGTAAATATTGTATTAAAGACATCTCCTTGAAGACTTGTGCAAATTTGTAATGCTTCCTTCTCATCTCTTTCTTTCTCTCTTAAATGTTGTTTTGTGTATAAATTATTTGAAACTTTATTAATTTGATTTTGTATAGTGCTGGGTGCTTTGCCTATTTAATGAGCTATTACATTTCACCTTTGACCTACATACTCAGAAATCGAACTTAGGCTGTACATGTATTTTGATACCATGTACCTTCATATTAAATTTCATTAAATTTGTCTAACATTACTCAAGTTATCGAATGGAAACCAGATTTGCATATTTAATGAGCTATGACCTTTGACCTACATATTCTGAAATTGAACTTAGGCTGTGTTTTGATACCATGAACCTTCATATCAAATTTCATTAAAATCTGTCAAACAATACTAGAGTTATGGATCGGAAACCAGATTTGCATATTTAATGAGCTATGACCTTTGAACTACATACTCTGAAATTGAACTTAGGCTGTGTTTTAATACCATAAACGTTCTTATCAAATTTCATTAAAATCCGTCAACCAATACTAAAGTTATGGATCGGAAACCAGATTCGCATATTTAATGAGCTATGACCTTTGACCTACATACTCGGAAATCGAACTTAGCCTGTATTTTGATATCATGTACCTTCATATCAAATTTCATTAAAATCTGTCAAACATTACTAAAGTTATCGATCGGAAACCAGATTGTATTTTTTCGCATATTTAATGAGCTATGACTTTTGCCCTTTGGCCTACATACTCCGAAATCAAACTTAGCCTGTATTTTGATATCATGTACCTTCATATCAAATTTCATTAAAATCCGTCAAACATTACTAAAGTTATCGATCGGAAACCAGATGTGTAGTTTTTCGCATATTTAATGAGCTATGACCTTTCACCTTTCACCTACATACTCCAAAAAAAAATTAGCCTGTATTTTGATATCATGTACCTTCATATCAAATTTCATTAAAATCCGTCAAACATTACTGAAGTTATCAATCAGAAACCAAATTTGTTACGGACGCACGGACGGACGCACGGAAGGGCGCAAGGCAGCGTTACTATAATTAATCTACATCTGCACAGTTCAACTTAAGTTGATGCAGTTAAAAATGATTGAGCATCCCATTTGGCTTTTCATATATAAGTCATTTGTAAAGTCATGCGTAACTTTACGAACAGCTTTATGAAACACCCCCCTGGAGTACTGGTTAAACATGATCTGAAATGTTCATATCATGTGAATAATATTGTCAAGCGAGCAAGCACAAAACTATACATGCTCAGAATAATAACAGATTCAAACTTCCAGCAAATGATCGAATTTGTCTACTGTTCTTACGTTCGGCCCATGGTAGAATACTGTGCCCCTGCTTGGCCCTCTGGGCTCACTGAAAACCAAAGTAATCAGATTGAAAGAATCCAAAAAATGAGCATGCTGCCTTGTGCTTGGACTGCACTACTGTACTTACCAACATGCTCTAAAAGAATTGGAACTGCCCACTCTCAATGAATGACGAGAGAAACTAGCATTGAGTCTGTTCAAAAGATTGACCAGCCCATCATCAAACTTTCACCACGGGCTTCCTTCATTGCAATCAACTTTACATTGTCGATCATTGCGAAATGGCCAAACCTAGTCCGAAGTCTTAAAACGGAGCGCTTCAAAAGAAGTGCTCCTCCTCTACCTCATCAGGCTCTTGAATTTAAATTTAAAGTAAAGGGGGAGGGGGATCCATAAATAAATCTGTTGTGCATCATACTTAGGTAAAAGTACCTGCAAAATCCCTTTATCCTCGGTTTAATGCGTTTATCTTGTCATTTTTGTCAATTATTTTTGTTAATTAGTTTATTACATAATATGTACGATTTTACACCCCATTCAAGCCCTGCTTAACAATTTGATACAATTTATTGACCAATTTGAAGGTTTGTAATTATGCAATATTTTTTACTCTTTTTAATACTCATACCGTTGATTAATTATATTCTCTTTTGAACTTATCCTAAATACTTTTGACTTTGAATTAAACCAAATTATTGATATATCTGCCAACAACCCACAGGCAAGAGAGGGAGAGAGACAGAGAAGGGGAAAGAGAGGGGGAGAAAGAGGACAGATAAAATGGTGGGACCGATGGACATAATTTAATTTGATCAAAAGCGCAATTTACTTCTCTCCATGAATTATGTACTGTAAGCATCATCTGGCTTTTGGATATTCTTACCATTTTAGTATTGTATTTTATGTATTTCTAAAACATGCTTGTAAAATGTGAACAATTCAGCCATTGGCTGCTAATCATATTTTTTTTAATTATACAACAAATAAATGAATTAATATTAAATACCCATTCCTAAAAAAATGCATGTCTGTAAATGCCTGATGGGTTTGCAATTGAAGGGGAAGTCCACCCAGATATTGGTAAGTTGGTTTTAATAAAAGCAGGAAAAGGAGAGAGAAAAATTATTGAAAGTTTTAGCATCTTCAGCACCTTCTGCTGTCATCACATACTGACCATCCTCTCAAACATCAGAAACCGAGTCCTCCCCCGCCCATCTTCAAAACTCATAACTGTCACTGACCTGTTTTTCTCATTTTCTGCTTCTATTCAAACCAAGTTAATATCAGGGTGGACATCCCCTTTAAATTATAATACTTATTAATGTTTGTAAGATATCAAACTTACCACATCTCTATGTACACCTAGTCCAGTGAATATACAACCTGCTATTGTGTGTGCTGTCATTAATGGCTGTATTGTCAGAGATGATATTCTACCCCTCAACAAGGCTGCAGTGTCTAGGTCCTGACTCTCAAAGGATACATCAACAAAGAAATCCATCTCCTCTGGGTTTTGGATGCCACCCTGTAACATGCATTTCATGACATGGTGTGCAACAGTTTTGTCCTGTGATACAGTGAAGTACAGGAGATACCTAAACTCTTCTTTCCTAGGCAGCACTACTTGCTCAATCAGCCTGTTGAATTCATTGGGATCTAATTCATACAGGGAAGCAAGGTGGGCCCCAGCCATGTACTCCTGAAAGAGTTTGTGTGGAAAGAAGATTGTAGACTGCAGGTACGGATTGCTCTTATCATATATAGATGACAGTTTTTTCTCCTGAGACAACACCCCTACTCTGCAAGCTGTTTCAATGGAGTCTGAGCACTGTTCAAAATCGCCTTCTTTGAAACTAAGGATGTTTTCTTGTAGCCCGGTGAAAGCAACTTGGGCAATTGGTTCCATGAGCTTCTCAATTTGAGAGCGAAAGGCTTGGAAAGATGGGCTGTCTAAATCTGCGATCTCTTTCTGAGCATAATGCACCTTCAAGAATTCAAACATTTCATCAAATATTTGAGAAAAAGTTTGTAATGACTTAAACTTTTCTTGTTTTTCGTCACCAAGTTCTCTCCACATAAGACAGACCATAGCTATGTAGATAGGATACGGGGCCATATTCTCAGATATGATGACATTTTCTTTGGTTAATTGGATAAGCTGATCTGTTTTGGCCCCATCATCTTGAAAGTACTTGTGAATGTAATCCTCCACATTCTCCTTGCTAAAACCTTCCAAATGCAGGAAAGTGTACCGTTTGCTCAGACTATCATCCCATCTAATCTCTTTGACCTTCCATGGGCGACTTGTCACCAACACCGGGCAAGTGGCAAGTTCATCTGATCGAAGAATGTCTCCAAGTGCAATTTCGCCTCTCTCTGAAGAACTTCCACATGCCTCTGCACTTTTGACTCTTGGCTGCGAAGTGGCACTTGTTGGGCTTCCTGACTTTGGCTGCATTAACTTTTGCCGCTCATTCTTGTTCATCTTTGATTCTGATCTTACCTTGGTTTGATCAGCAGGCTTTGGCTGTTGACATTCTGACTTTGAATCAGCTTTCCTTTGCTGTACAACCTTGCCATCAAACTCATCTAATCCATCAAACGCAATGAATACATCTTTTGGATTTGAACGAATGTACTCAGTGATCTGGCAGGCTGTTGCTGGGTTGCCCTTGGAGAGATACGACTTGATAATCTCACCGATCGTGTATTGCTTGGCTTCACGAAAAGGGACAACGAGTACCCACACAAACTTTTGGAGAGCAGAACTGTCATTTATCCAGTCCCAGGCAATCTTAGCACAGAATGTTGTCTTTCCTGTCCCAGCCTCTCCCTGAACCATGATCCGCTTGGGAAACTCTCCATTGACTTTAAGATCAAAGAGATCACTGTACTCAAGTGGTCGCTTACTTTGTCGATATTCCTCTTCCAGGACAAGGTTTGTGTACATGTCGCCAAACTGCACAATGGAAATTGGGATGAGAGGATCAGCTCTGATCTTACAGAGAGTTGTCCGGTATTTGGATCTCAAATCATCTGCACATCTCTCGATCAGGTCAGCAGAAAGTGGTTGGGGCTGTGATCCTGGCAATCTAACAGGTGCACCTTTAAAATTTAATAATACAAGTGTGATAATTTTTTCTGAATATCAAAATACATATACAAATGAACATAAAAACAAATTTCTGATGTATTTTTTTGTTTGTCAACTTTACATTTTCATTCATTCATTCATGTCTTTGCAGTTTTATTTCTGCACATCCATCATACATGTATACTCTTGTTGATGCATGACATGTCTGTTTGTTTTCTTTTTTAAGTATCTCAAAAAAATTGTCTTTCGGTAGTAAAGATAAAGTTGAGTTCTGGTCATGCAATTGGATTGTGAAAGAAGCGGTGTGGAATCAATCTGAAAAAGTTGATCATGTAGCATAGAAGTATTGGTGGGTTCTGGAGTCATCAAAATGATATGAAATTTGGCACAGTGGTAGTTAAGTAACAAGCACTGTACACAGAAAGATGTATGTGGGACTATACTCAAACATGTGGCATAAAAATCAGGCTTAGTTTTTACCGGTAAGCTGTTACTTGTAATATTTAGAATATGAAGGCATTTGAAGAGCCATGCTTTTCAGGAAACATTTTTTCTGTGATGTTCTTCCAGACTTGCATAATCACAATGACAATGCTCACAAATTATTTTTCACCTCTCCCCAGATCTCAACCTTCTCTTTCAGGTATATATATATAAATATCTAACATGTCAATATCATTAATTTCCATCGCTAACACTACAGTATGGACAATAATGATGAATTATGAATTATAGCTCGAAGAACAATTCCATTCAATATAGAAAGAACTGAGAGAAATGTAGTTTTTCATTTTGTTTTGTACACAAGAAACAGAAATTCTCCATTTTAGGGCTGACATGAATAAGGTCACAAAAGATGAAACGATTCTGTAATGGTACAATTTTCAGAAACTTGACAAAAAATAGTTAGAAAGTGGCTGCATGGGCTTGAAATGCCAAGAAATTTGAATGACAATCGTTGTACAGCTTCATGTAAAACTAATTTCATCATCACCCTTACACAGCACAAAGTGAGAGGGTCTGTAACCATGTATTAATGGCCACAGCCCATGTGACCGACAGCCCACAAGACCGACAATATCTGTCTAGCGAACCATCTGAAAAGTTGTTAGAAGGTCCATGACACCAACTACCCATGGACTGACAACCCACAAGACTGAAATGTTAGTCTCATGGATATTCTGACAACTATTTTGAGGGTTCAACAGACCTCATGGGCTGTTCGTCTACTGGGATGTCCTGCTATAAAATAACCCTATTCGTACCAAACGAAAAAGTGTCAAATCAGTGTTTGTTGGCTCCCTGCAAGAGCAATATATTATCAATGGCAGTAAAGGCCTTCTTGCGAGCAGCTGACATGATTTCCTTCTTATTCTCACCTGTCCTGTTTGGGACTAGACTGCCAGCGAGTAGTTTGCCAGAGAGGGACCCTAAGTCACTACTTTCTAATTCCTCTGCAAGGAGAGCCCTGATGTCTGTGCCTGGAGGCTGTTTGTCTCTCCATCTCGTGAAGACTGTCATCAATGCATCACTGGTATTTTGGCTCTCTTTCTCGATTTGACCAAGCTCTGCAATGGAGATGTCCAGGTTAATGCCCACCTCTTTGTAGTAGCTAGGTTTAATTTGCTTTGACAGCTTTAAGAATTCCTTTTCACTGACAATCCTGTAATTAAAAACATGAGTTTATCAAGCATCTCTTAAGTTTCTCTTAAAGCCCTTCTTAAGTGTTGAGAGCCCCAAATTGGCCACTATTTGAAGGCAAAGTTCACTTAAATTGTAAAGATCCCCCCCCCCATAAAAATGTGTTTGAAGACAAATATTAATAAAAAAGAATACATAATTTTGGTTTTCTGTTGTACGCAAAAAACCTAGATTTTGTATTCTTTCATCAATATTTGACATCAACACATTTGTTTTTAAAATCCTGCAAAAATGTGTTTAAAATGACATCCCTTTTCACATTATGATACAATTTAAGTGAAATTTTGCCATCAAATTCTTGGGGCTCCCAACACTTTGGAGGGTCTTGAAGTATCTCTTATTGTGTTGTAACTCCTACTGTATAATTCATTAAATCACCATTCTTCATACTTTTTAAGTTCAATTCTTGATGAGCTTTTGGGCGAAACAGACTGTACAACTAATCAACTGCATGGAAGAATAAACTACTCCAGCCTACAAATATGTACACTAGCTCCTACAGCTGAGCACTGTTAGTACCTGCAGCTTTATGAGCATACCTATCTGATTTCATTAAGCTACATGTACTGATGAGACTTATTCAAAGGTATATTGAAGCATACAGACACAAGACTTATACCTCATTAAGCAGTGCACTTGAATATGGAAGAAAAATTGGCATGCATGTAAGTGGTGTTATGGTTTAATAGTAAGAAAATTACTTAATATCCCTACTGCTCATTACTGTTGCAATAATGAACTTGAAATAAGCTTCAAATACATATATATACTAACCTGTCTGGTCCAGGGTTGGTTTCAACATCACCAGATCTCATCAGGAGGATCATGAGCAGATAGAGATGGCAGAATCCATCCATGGTGCTAGACGTCCTTCTCATTCGACAGAAACTCAGTCCGCTGGAAAGGTTCATGAATGATAACCCCAGCAATACAATCCTGTAATTGACAAAAAGGGGATTGATGCAGTTAATTATACAAATTGAAGTGAATTAAATTGAATTGAATTTATTTATTCACCACCATTGAAAACATTGAAACAAAAGATCATTAATATAAACATGACATGAGTTAAAATACATGTTCTACAGCGATATAATATAAAATTAAAAGATAGTTATAAGTAATTTAGTGTCAAGAGTAAAACAATAAACGACTATTTACAATGAGTAAATTACTCATATTAGTGAATAGTGACATACATGTACGTGTATGTACAATGTACATAAAATGGTTCACTGTTTACACTTTTTCGCCCCTTATCCAAATATTTGCCTCCTGACTTGACTCTTTTGCAATTTAATACTGAATCTTATTCAAAGATAAAAGGGGATGACATGTGAAGATCTAGCTTATATCCAGGAAGGGAAGTGGGGGGGGGGGGGGCGGGATGGGTGTCTCCATTTGTGCTGCAGAGAGACAAAATGCACATTTAAAGGATTTATGAAATAAAGCTACCGGTAACCAAATATCATATTGAGAATGAGATTATTTTCATTGTGTATATGGTAGGGTGTAAATACAAAGGAATTCTTGGGGAGCATCCCCCTACCCCTCCCCCCACCCCCTCCGTGATGTAGTGCAATGTGTTTTTTTTCATTGCTGAAATATGTAAATTTTTACAATTCATAGCATCTGATATCACTACGGTCTCTATGTTACTCCCATTATACACTGTTAGTATTTCTTTGTATTTACACCCTACTCTTACAGTAAGCAGAAAAATCAAGGAGAATAGTGAAAGTTGAAACAAAAAGGAAAGTGTGGGAGCTTTTGCATTTTTTAACTTCAAATTGTGCAATCTGATGCATTTATTTACATATAATAATGGTGCATTTTGGTGCTTGTCGTGCCATACCTCAGTGGAAATTATAGAATCTGAGTTACAATGTAACATGTCATGTTTACGGTTCAAACATAATCAAATAATATTTACACAAACATGACACAAATCTGACACTAATATACCATACTATAATAGTGCCAATACAGTACGGTGTGCCCTTGACTTGCAGGGGTGGGCCTGGCCTGACATATTCGAATGCTGCTGAAATTACTTCCGTAGTGCAGTGGCAAGCGACTTGAGTGCCGTTTTGCCAATATGCTAGGCGTGGCAGCCGTGGGGTGCATGGTGCTGCAAACGCTCACAAAATGACCCCTGGGTGACCGTATACTTACGGTAGAGTTACGAGGTTTATATATGTATCATATAGAAGACAATACTTCAATTTGATGGAAGTGCTTATAAATAGATATAAAATAAATCAAAATCTCTATAATCTTAAAGGGATTGGGTAACTTTGTCTCAGATTCTGAAACGAAATCCTGGATTTAGCTCATGCTGCATTGATAATCATAAACCTTTAGGTCAGTCAGTAACACCATGACTTTTACAAGCCGATCGCCTGTCTGATTATCAAGATATTTATGAGTGGAAATCGAAATTTAATTTGGCGTTTTCCTAACGGTTTTCATAACACTACAGTCCATTGGGGAAAATGAGTCGGTATGGTAAACCTGGTCACTCAAAGATATTTACTTTTTAGAGGCACTTCGTGATCATTTTGATGCGCAATTTTTTTAACACAATGTACATGTATCTCAGATTTAACATTGTTAAACGATGCCTTTAATATTAAAGCAAGTTCGTAATTAGCCACTGGAGTCGTATGACGTCAAGGGCCATTCCATGGTAACTCGCGTTACACTTAATGGGTACATTGACACGATAATGTGCCTATATCTTTAGAACTGCTAGGATCTACAAGATACTTTTTTCAAACATGGACAGGGTAGATATAGAACAACTGAATGAAACAAAAAAGAAAATTGAAGAACAAACATTTTTAGATTCTTGGATTATTGAATTTCAGTAACTCGCGTTACAAAAAAAGGACATGGTCAATTCTACGAGACCCTCTTTTCTCCTCATACTAGACAATCTTGACAAAATCTTTCCTACTTTAATTTGATAGTAGGTTGTGACTTACTAGTATAAGATCACAATATTAAAGATAAGAAACAATGGACTAGTAAAATGCAGGAAGCAAATATGTCGGTAACTCGCGTTACGGTAACTCGCGTTACATTTTGTCCGGAGGCCATTTTCACCCCTATGTAATAGATTAAATATCACAGGACCCCTTAGAATATGGAAATATATTCATCTTTTTCCATTTAGCGAAATTTTCAGGAAAAAATATTACAAGAATCCTGTGTAATCTGCAATAAATTGTTTTTTTTTCAGCTACAGTCCCACATGTACGTTTTTGATGATAGTTTGAGATCTTAGGAAATCAACAAAAATGAAAAAAAATTGTATTGAATTTGAAAGGCCCTAATGTTTTATGAACATCCATGGCATAAGGTTAGTGATAAATCAAAGAATTAACATAAGAGGTACATTTCTTTTTTTGATGTCATGTCCTTCTTCTCATGGAATGGCCCTCAACGTGTCATAGCTAGGTCACATCAGCATAATATCTCCAAACGCCCACAAGCTTATGTGTATATCGTCTATACTATGGGATGTTGGGAAGAAGGAAACAAATCGTGTGATGCAATAAAATTATGAAGTGCTACTGCGTGGATCGGATTGGAGCGAATGATGGTTTCCTATTTCACGAAAGTGTAGTTTCTGTGTACAACCTTGGCAGCTTGTGGACGAGTGGATAAGTCACCGGACTGTGGATCACAGGGTCTGCGGTTCAAGTCCCACTACGGCACTAGTGTCCTTTGGCAAGACATTGATCTACATTTGCCACTCTCCACCCAGGTGTTAAATGAGTACCCGGTAGGATGCGAAAGCTAATGTGCTTAGATTAGCATTGTGCTTGTAAAAATGACGCCTGGCTGGAATGCTCCCCAGGGAGTGGAGAATGTGCATACATACATTGTGTGCGGGTAAGCCTGAATACGATGAGCGGGGTAATAATATATATATCTCTAAAGCGCTTTTGAGAGGGCCTTTGGTCCTAAAAAGCGCTATATAAGAACTAGCTATTATTATTATTATTATCATGAAAATCAAAATTCCTTGTCAATACGGAGAAATTAGCTGAAAATACTACTCAATGACTGCGACATTGGGATTGTTTAATGCCACTACTTTATTTGTCTATAACATAGTCTATGATGGCCGACCATTGCCACGTCCTATATATGTATCATGCAGGTGCGCGCGCTCTTAAAATTACCTCATGGGGAATCCCCTCAAATTTAATGGCATACCGGGTATGCGAATATGCAGTTGTAGGCTAGCGTTGGAATGAATTGAATAGCTGAATGAAAACAAAGACATGTTTGTTGTTGTTGTGACATTGCAATTGTAAATACAATGCATGACATGAATACATATATATTTGTAATAGCACTTCCTCAGGCAAGGTGCCTAGTATAGCGCCATATATTGCTATTCACTTGATATCAAACACTCAGAAGGTTACATGAACATGGTTGTGCTGAGGTTCAAGAATCCCCTTTTTCCCAGCGCATCAAGGAGATTTAAGTCATAATATTGTCATTAAGTCAGGCAAAGAGGTTAGTTTTGTTCTATATTTAATGTATTTCTATGAATTGTCGAAACATGAAGTGTAAATTAGTGTGTGTGTTTTAAACTTCATACTGAGAGATTTTGATGTTAGTATGTATTAATACATGCAAGCCTATGCTGTTATTATGTACATTTGATTTTATATTAAGAACAAGGATAACAGTAAAGATACTGCTAATAATTTGAAGATATATTATGAGAGTGCTGAAGCACTAAGTAGAGATTTGGAATTTAGTATTGTCTGGTTCATAATTGTTTAAACAACCTATAGTGAAGTCTAGTTAAGACACTTGTATTGTGAGTTTGTCTTTATGTAAAGCCATAATGCAGATGGACTAGAATAGTGACTGGGATTATGTTAACAGGTTATGAAGATGAGTTTCTCAAAGAGACTGTGTTATTGCTATATTGACGATGCTATGATGTACTTGTATTTATGATTCTTTATCTGTGATTTATCCACAGTTTTAACGGAATGAAACGGAATGAAACAAAATGAAATGGTTACTCAAATCATTAAAGTGTTGGTCACAACCCACCGTGCGTGTTTTTAGTCCGTACGGTTTCTGGGGAGGCTACGGCCGTCACGTTTTTCTGAAAACATAGGGAGGGAGTGGCAAAGGCAGGGAGGGAGTACCGGCAACGCACGTCACACGTACTGGGGGTGAATCGGTAGCCTGAACCGCAGCCCGAACGCAGCGAAAATTCCTTGTGCACTTAAAGTGCTACAGTGTGTCTGTGTGCTCCCGAATCCATTCAGAGGCGGTCTCACCACGTACGGATACACAAAGTTTGTCCACATTTTTGCACGTAGACAGCAAGTACGGCGGGTTGTGACCACCGCATTAAAGCTACAGATTCCCGTAAAAGCCTTTGTTTAGACTTGTTTATTTGATATCGACCTCGCTGCAGCCACAGTTGTAATCGAGTATCTGCTATTGTGGTTATTGGTCACAATCTTTATCAATTTCGTCGAATCTGACTGCCAGTTTTTCATCTGCAATTTTTCCAATAGTTATTTTATTCTTCATTATGTTGTAAATTGGAATTTTATATGTTGTAAACAAATAGGAATTATGTGGTGCAAAGGTGTCCTGCTTCTCCAGCCAATAGGGTCTTTTAGATTTGCACGTTGACATAGTAGACTGCTACTTGTGACATCCTTTTATACCGCCAGTGCCTTAAAAGGACGTCACACGTAGCAGTCCACTATGTCAACATGCAAATCTAAAAGTCCCTAATGACAAATTGTTTACCTCCTTTCTGGGGGTATCTCTATTACTCATTTGGAGTACCCCCTATGGGGATTCCCATTGAATTGTTTTCCTCCTTTCTGTGGGTATTTCTATTAGTATTACTCATTTGGAGTAC